GCGTGTTGATCTCCTGCTGACGGCTTCACACTCAGTTTTAAGCAACACAGGTTGGAATAGAGCCTCCTTAACTCTGCAAGCATTTGGTTAATGTACCTCATTACTCCCCCTTTGAGCTGATTTTCACTTTCCATTCACTCGCTGCTAAGAGAGCATCTCTGAAATTTCCACGTCTCTCACGGGCCATTGATGTTTATGCTTGCAGACGCAATTTGTTTAATTCCACATAGACGTTTTTGTATCCTAATTCCCTCCCTCAATGGAGGTAGCAGGAACAAGGGAAGCATGAGAAAATATTGTGTTATTAATTATACTGTGTGTTCTTTCTTAATCTTCTCCTCTTATGGTCTGCTACTTTATGTTTTCTTTCCGATCAATGATGCCCCCCACCACCTTTTGTTGCGCTATGCTGTTTGTTGTGGCTCCCTTGTGCGCTTTCTATGTTATTTTAACTCCTTTGGTAAGTATCACACAGCCCTCCTTCCACCATGCTGCCTGCCTTTCCCCCTCTCAGCCTCTATCTCTCTCTTTCTGTTGATATTTGCGTTCTTGTATCTGTGGCTCTCTCCTTTCCTCTGTTTTCTCTCATCCCCTTCCCACACACACTCCATGTCCTTGTACTGTGGGCAGCATATATGTGCATAGAAGCACTTGAGACAACTTTTTTCCTTTAAACTGGCAAGCCACTTAGCAGCTTTATTTAGCACCAAGAAGAGGATTAACAGCAGGAAACGTCAACAAAATGGCATGCAGAGACACTGAAAACTCTTTCACACACATGCATGCACAACTCACACACATGCTAACACACTATAGCTATTGTACTCACTGAGCCTTGGCCAAGTGCACCCATATCTTCCAACCTTTCATGAAGCATTATTATGCTAGTCAGCCAGCTGATGCTCTTATCCTTATGGGATTGTGGTGTTCAGTATGGACAAGCTTTTCATCACACACAGTGCACAAGGCGTATTTTACTTTGAACAATCTACTAGAGGCTGTGAACCTCTGCCAGTTATTCTATCACATTTTTTTACCCCAGTCAGGTGAGGCAGCTCATGTCGCTTTGGTGCTCATGGGGCATCGCTCACAGCAGCTCTTTACTTGGCTCACCAGATCAGAGAGAAATCGCTCACATTTGCTGCCCAAGAACATGAGGCGTGCACTCTTGCTGGCCCATGCATGCATAAGTCTCACGCCCCACAAACATGCATCCGTGCACACACAAGTACATTCTTCATTATCATTCCAGAGCTGATAGGCTCTAATTATCTGCCTTGGCTCTGATTAGTCTCTCTATAACAAGCTAATTAGATGGAGCCTTGTAAAATCATCTCTACCATTACCACAGAGACATGTTTGGGAAAGACACCAACAAGCAGGAGGCAAGGAATGTGTCTTGCATCGCTCCTTGCAAAGATTTGATAGTTAACTAAATGTTAAGTGCTAGAGCTCTGATTTCTGTTTGATTAAGTGCCTTTTAACCCTCCTCTACTTTGCAGTGAAATCATTTTTTCTTCTCATTATTCATCACGAAAGGATTGTTCCATCTAACGGCGCAGGATGATCTGGCTTAAAGTGCATAAATTGCTACTGTCAACACTTTAGCAGATAGCATCTGAGCATTGATTGGTTTTTCTGCCCACGCTATAGAGTGGCTATTTATCCAAAACGAACTACCATCACATCTGAGTCAAAACTTTTCTCCTCAGCAGAGCAACTTTAAAGCCTGAGCAGAAAGCTAGATTAATTCTTTCCTCTAGCGCTTCCTCTCTGTGTTATTATCCTCCTAACAATCCTTTTAGGAGCTGTCACACACTTTGTAGCTATTGTGGTTGAGTTGTGAACTCTTTAGAGCTAGTCTACAGTGCATCATGTTGTATTTTCCATCAAACATAATAGTTATAAAATAAGAACTGTATTCTCCACATTTCCGTTTTGTTTTCCAATTCATCTGAGTGAAAATGAGGTGCAGCAGAGCTTTGGCTGATCCCAGCTGTTGTCAAACGAGAAGCAGGGAGTACTCTGAACAAATCACCAGCTCATCACAGACCCAACACAGTGATGCATAGGACAAACATGCATGCACACACTTGTCAATTTAGCCTTGGCGGAGATGTTATGCTGCAAAGTATTAACGAAACAGGCAAAGCAGAGCTGTTTTGGAATACAACATATCCACTGAGTCAGACGTTGAGTAGTGACTGGATGCATCACATACTTTTGTTTTTTTTTTCTTCTTCTTGGGTTTAAAAGCACATTTATACCCTTTGGTCACAAACAGGAGACATGTTATGTAACAATATTTGCAACCCATGGCTACTTTTTAGCTCTCAGGTGTGTTTGAGTGTTCACTAAGAGAATAAAAAGTTGAGAAGGGTAGAGGAGGTGGGTTAGAGGGATGCTAAATGTGAAAGCGTATTAATGGGTTTGATGGTATAACGTGCCCCTATGTCAAGGGTTTGTACTTGTGTTCAAATCTGCCAGTGCATCTGTTTGTAAGTATGTTTGTCTTGGCAGGAGGTTCTATTTCTTCTCTGGGGTGAGGCAGATGGCCTCTGTGGATGGCAGCCCACTGAACTGGTTGGCAGCTTTTCTGACATTTCCTCATGCCACATTGACAGACGATCACAGCCAGTATTTGTGAAGGTGGTGTGTTAGCTCTCAGATCTGTGAATAACTTCCCTTTGAGGCAATAGCTCTCCACAAAAATGTCAATTAATAGCCCTTTATGTTGTCTTTGTTTATTTTCTTGAACATAGTGTTCAAACTGTGCCATTGTTTTTAATGTGGATAACAATTCCTATCATCATTTCAGCAAAAGTCTTGCCACACTCGTGTCATAAAGGTGTACGCAGCTTCTTCTTGGGAGCTGCTGTGCTCTCTTGCAATCAGGCTCGGCTTAGACTGAGCGAGTTGGTAATTGGATTCTTGGAATCTTCTTATTCACTTCAGTGACACAGCATGCAGGCGACAAAGTGCCTGCTGTCTTCAGGCATCATCCCTGCATTCCTTTGGGAAGATCAAGGTAGCTTTACCCAGAGTTGGTAGATGAAACTGAGGCTGAGGCTCTCTCCCACGGGAACCTGCATGCCTGAATGGTAGACTTGATGGAAAATGGATGGGTTATAACAGATCCACCAGTCCATACTGCAGGCACTTATAGAGCTATCCACCCATTAACTGCAATGACCATGACAAAATAAAAGAAAGACCAAAGGGCAAATGGGTACCATGGGTAAATCACTTCTTTCTGGTTGATATGTCAAAGTGACTCCTACAGATCTTTGAATCAAAATTGTACTGTGCACATTTCCACGTTGCTTAAAGGCATTCATAAACATGACACGAAGACTAGCAACAAACTAAATCAGCACAATATTTTTCTCATATCAATAATAAATTGCTGATACAAATGTATATTAGTTAAATGATAAAAAATTGTAAACAAAATTTGTGAGCTGCATTGATCTTCCATGTTTGCTTGAAGAAAAGTGAAAATAGTTACTGAAAACAGGTCAATGATGGGGACATCGATGACCTTTTTGGGATTGAGATGACCAATAAATTTAATCTGTTGTTACATATTTACACTCAGATCTATTGAGGAAAGCATGCAAATAAACAGACAGGTTAACCTGAAATGATAAACTTATAGGTCTTGAAGAAATTTTGCACAAGTTGAATGACAAACTCTGCTTCTTTGGTGCTCCACTGCCTTGAATGATACCCAATGTTTGATTGTAATAGCTGTGTTAGTCAATCTTGATTCACTCCTATATTTTCATGTCTCACCTAAATGTCTTGCCCAAAATTCTACGCTTGTCCGATTCAGTCATGTGTGTTTATCTACACAAACAACGCTCAGCCTAATGTAGGTCAATCACATGAATCAAGCTTCCACATGGTTTTAGGCAGATTTAGCCAAGTACATTGTTTACACTGAGAGCAAACCCATTTTTTTATGAACTGTATATCAATTTATATAGAAAACTACTGGTGTACGCTCTGTTGAACTTCATACATTTAATATAGTTCAGGATAAAACAAAGGTTTGTAAGCTCAATCTTCCAAGTAGATACCAATAAAAAATGTTAAATAATTCAATTCAATTCAAAAATACTTTATTAATCCCAAATGTAAATTAAATGTTGTAAATCATCATTCTGGTTTCATTAAAGAGTTGTTATAGATGCTGTGGGCAGGAAGGATCTCTTGTATTGGTCTGTCTTACAACAGAGCTGAAGAAACCTCTGAAGACACAGTTGTTGTATGACAGTCTGATGAAGAGGATGCTGAGGGTTGTCTATAATGTTCTTCATTTTATTCAAAGAATCCTTATTCAAGGATTCAAGGTTCTTTATTGTCATTCACATTGCATGTGGTACACGAGGTGGAACGAAATTGTGTACACAGGGTCCCAGTAACATCCAACAATAGCAAAAATATAAATTGTAAAAAGAAACAGTAAATAAGGATCTAAGATATGAACTAAGCTGTCCGCTAAACGAACGCCCAACGGTTTTATGAAGAATCCTTCTTTGTACAATCATCTCCAAAGGTTCTAGAGGAGTCCCCAGAACTGAGCCAGCCTTCTTTATGAGCTTATTGATCTTTTTCCAAATCATGTCATCTGGACCAGTTTCTTAAAGTGAATAATGTAGAGTTTTAACTCATGCAAAACAATCAGTCATCATGTATAACAATCAAATGTTTTAGGCTAGATGGCCAACAGGATAATCTACTTTATATTAAATTTTCCAGTGTACAATGAGTACCTTTAAACACAAAACACCAATAGTTATTATAACTTCCTTTCGTATATTTATTTCATCTAAGAGAGAGGTTTTACATGCCACATACCCGTGTCCTCTGATGACTCTCTGTTCGTCAGTACTTTTGATTTCCCTGGTTGCTTGTCTCTTCTCCACACACTATTACATGACAGCTGTCACTTTAAGTAATCACAGTTTCTTCACTATTTCTGCATTATCCCCTAGGCCCAGACTGGTACCTGAACAAGGTGAAGCTGAAGATCACTGATGTCAATGACAACGTTCCTGAGTGGAATATGAAGCCATACCCCTACCTAGCTGTTGTGTCTCCTGAGGCCCCTGCAGGATCATTTGTCTACCAGCTTGAGGCTACTGATGGGGATGAGGGCAAAAGTGGAGAGGTGGAATACTTCTTGTCAGACGGTAAGCATTATTGTTGCTCATTTACTTGGATACAACCTCATAAGCTGCACAAAAGTGAAATGAAACATGTTGTCTTGTTGGTAAAAGGCTGGCAGGCTGTGAATGTTTGGAAATTAATACAACCAGTCTGGCACCAGCGCAATATCTGAGATACAGCCACTGGCATTCCTACGTTCATTCATGCATTCACATACCCTTTACATGTCCATTAGCATCTCTGTCTTTCTTTCACTCTCTCTACCTCCATCCTTCGTTTCTTTCTCCTCCACATACAATCATTCAATCAGAAAATCCCCTACACAGCCAGGGGCCTTCAGAGATTTGTTTATGCACTTTGCATGCACTCTTGTCTGTCTGCCTCTCTGCTTCATACAGAGAAGCAAGCAAGCACACATTCGCTCATACACAAACACATGCAGTGGGCTGTTGGAAGCCTGCCAGAACAGCGGACCCCCTGGTGGTTGAAGAGATTGAGGGTTGTTGGCAGAGATTGTGGGATGTGCTGATGTTGCTTGTGGGGTTTTCTGATTTCCCTCTGACTTGCGGTTTAACTGTACTCAGGACATCCCACAGCGTCCTGATTTTGAGTTAAACCCCAGTTGCATGGAGGTGCTCAATGTCTGCATTGGCGTGCTAAGAAACTTTAAGTAGTGGCGTTTATCAGCTTAAAATGAATAAAAACAATCAAAGTAATTTGGATTTCACATGCATTTTTCTGACTTCTTATCATGTGCTTAACATGAAATGTTACGAGATGTCATGGAAAGTCTCTAGATCAGTAGTTCTCAAACTGGGGTCCCCGGACACCCACGGGTCCATGAGCCGGTGCTTGGGGGTCAGCAAAATATAAAAATTTTTAAAATTTAATAAAATTATATATATGTATATATATATATATATATTTTATTTATTTATTTATTTATTTATTTATTGTAACAAACACATAGATGTTTAACAACCTATTAAAATACACCCAAATGCAGGAAATCACATCAACTTTATTCAAACATTTCTAAGGGAGGACCCCCAGAACCAGCCCACCCACTGTTAATTTTTTCAAAATTGTAATTTTTGGAAGTTTAAATTAAAATTTTTGTTTATTAAGTGTGTCTTGAATGAAAATACCCCATGTTTAAAAGTATAAAAGTTGTATTAACACTATTAAAGAACAGGTCTTAAGTATTTATGTTACACAAATATTTCCATTGCATTAAAGAGACAATTTGAAGAACATTGTTTAATAAGCATGAGGATTATGAGGGGGTCGCTGAACCTAACATGTTTGAGAACCCCTGCTCTATGACCATGAACTAATTGCAGTACTTCCTAGTAGTAAAAAAGTAAAGCCCCTGCAAGGTTTTAAATAAATCTATGTTGTAACACACCCTCATAATACACATACTGTGAGTTATGTTGTGTTAGTTGTGATTGTTATAAAAGTAGAAGTTATGCATTTTCTGTCTCCGTTTAAAAAAAAAAAATCTTTCCTTTCCTTTCATTGCAGGTATTTCTGTACTCCTGTCCATCCCAATGACTGATAGCATTATTGATATTTAATTTTCAGTATATTCTATGAAAATAACCAAACTGTGAATTTGTTCAGCCTCAATGTTCATGTTGTAAAAATTTGATATTTGTGACGGAGTTTGCTACAACTTTTCTCCTAATCCATTGTACATTTCACTTGTCTCTTGAAGATTTTTGAATCCTTTTTATCTCCCCCTAAGACATCTATGATGTTTTTTCTTTAAATATTCAAAACAGTGTATTGTTTGTACCGTTGTATGCATGCTAGCAGCCCCCTTCCTCTTCCATCCCGTTGGCACATTAATACTTTTGTTCATGCTTTACTCCTACCAGCTGTCAGTCTGCAGAACAATGGGGGGAAACAGCAGCAGGAACAAAAACCAAAAATTGGGAATACTAATCAAAATTTTATTGCACTTAAGGTTGTAAACTTTAATACTTAAAAATTAAAAAGTAAATATAAAAAAAAAAAAGTACTTGACTGAGTTACGGTGTTGTTGCTTATCACTTTACTTTTTCTTTACTTTCCTTCTTTACTCACTGATTGCTGTTTTCATGTCTTTCTCTTATACATACACCGTTTGATTGTTTTAATAATTTGTAGCTGAAAATTGCCTCCAACCAAATGTGCTTTTACTCCTTTTGAGGAATGTTTTCAAAACTCATCAGTTCCAAGCTGGTTTGAGAAATTATTGTGCCCATTTAAATGCTTATTGTAATCTGTCTTTTTAATTTGTAAAACCATTAAAGAAAAAAAATCAATGTCTCCAATAAGAACAGATGAGGTGGGAACCACAGAAAGGGGAGGGCAGTCATAGTGCATAGGATCAAATTAGCACAATGTCAGTTTGATATTTTCATAAAAATTATTTTGAAGCTTGGATTCTTTTTTTTTTTTTTTTTTTGGCAAAGGTTATGTTGAGTTTTAACCACGTCCATGTTCAAAGTATGCTCAGTGATGTACTTTATTACTTTTCAAATCTCACTATTTCTGGCTCTTCACAAACCATAAATTTAACTGTTTTTCCTGAGCATTCAAGACAAAATAAAAGGCATTTAAAAAGTCAGCTTCCTGTATATTATGACAGATGATCAGGCAAATAAGACTGGAGCTAGCTGAATAAATTGTCTTGTTCGCTCTGATAATTCACACTATCATTTGCATGTTTTGTAACATAATTGCTGGTGTGTGATGCACTCAGATAAATTTAACGTTTTTTGCATATCAGTGTGTCTCAACAAATACCACCTGAAGCCAATTTGACAAAGTGAAAATTCCAACTCTTAATCAGGCAATCGCACTCTTTAATGAACAATTTTATTGAGCAATTAATCTTTCACGCACACCGTCAGAAAACATGCAAGTTTTGCAGACTTTGCTAAATGAAAATGTTTTCTAGGAAAACATAAGGTGTTACGTATTAATATCTACAAAAGTCAGCGTTTTTCTTCATTTTCTATAAAGAATTTCTGTTGGTGCGAGTATAACTTTTTTTTTTATGTTTGTCTTGTTTAAACACTAACAGGTTGACATGATTTCTGAGAGCTACTTTGTCAATATTTGCTTCTGGGACAAGCCAGCCACTGAGGCTCAAGACTGAAATTTCCACTGACACTGCACTGCTGTCAGTGATAAAAATCTCAAGGACAGTGAAATGTGACGACCAGTCAGTTTTCAGTTCTCGTCTGGTCGGAATAGATGGAAATCCTTGAACTTCCTGGCCCGGGAGGTTGTAAACTAATAATTATTTATTTGCAGTCTATCCAGACCAGTCATTTTAAACAGTCTCATGTTGTGCTTGCTTTAAGAGGCATGAAAAAAGGAACCCCCACACCACTTAAGGCCAAACTGAGGCACATTAAGACTCTGACCCACGTTTAGTCATACACAAATCAACCACTGCTCAATACTGTGCTCCTCTACTCTGGACGTGTCAGCACATTTTCCAGTCTACTTTCTGTTCACATTAGCTTTGTCACTTTGGACAAAAAAACCCTACAAAAAAACAAGAAATGTAATTTTTATTTGAGTAGCTGTTGAATATTTACCGATATTCCTTGCGATGAGTAAGCAACATTGCCGCTCGATTATACATCTATCTCGACACTTTGGTGGGAACATGTTGTCACAAATAGATACTCAAAGGATATTTCTACCTGTATTTCAAACAAATGCATAAATATATCTGAAAATTGAGAATGTGTTTTCAACTTTAAAGAAATACCGTAATTTCCAGACTATAGGCTGCTCTTTTTTTCTCACTCTGTGAACATAGCAGCTTATACAATGCTGCGGATAATTTATGGATTTTTTTTTTGTGTGTGTTGCCAAAACATTTAGCCTCTTCACACTCGAGTGCTCACATAGCTGCCCAGTACATGTCTCTCTTGGACGGTGGTCCTCGTGACTCAATAAGACTACCTGTATAAATAAAGGTTAAAAATAAATTAATTCAATTCAATTCATAAAAACTTTATTAATCCCAAAGGGAAAGTGTTAGTGTAGCTCATCATCCTAGTTTCATTCAAGAGTTGTTAGATGCTGATAGCTGTGGGCAGGAAGGATCTTCTGCAGTAAATTTGAAGAATCTGGCCACAGATACCGATCCGTCCACCTGGATCCAGCTTGCTGTCAGATCCTCTTGAGCAGCAGGGCTGCCCGAATGCCAGGCAGCAGTCTGCCAAGCTCTTCGTCTCCACAGACAGACAGTTGAAAGTGCCGGGGAATGATCCCAGTCCTCCTGCTGTCATGAGCCATGTTCCCACCAGCTCCAGGATCTCAGCAGTCAGGTACTTGAGCAACACCGCCAGATTGATGGGAATTCATCCTCGGCGCCGCCTTTTCAACTAATTTCGGATTTGTGAATGTAATTGAGTTTTTTGAGCTTTTGCTATGTTAATCAGCTGCTCCTCATTGTTAAAAAACACCTTGTTGTCATGGTTACGCATCATAACAAATGCCCTAAAGTAAAAAGGTTTCAGTTAAAATCCTTCCAGCCGCACAGCATCTGATACCAGAGTGAATAATCAACTGAAAAAAGTGATTTACATCCAGAAAAAAAGAGGAATTAAAGTTTTCAGAAGCAATAACTCATAATGAATGTAACAGAGCTACTCCAACATGCAGCCACCCCGAGTGGCGCAATTCTAGAAAACACGGACAAAAATACCTGACAAAATATCAGATCAATGAAATTACAAACAGAAAACTTTGTTTCCCTCTCCCTGGGGGCACAGCGAAGTACTTGCAGCCCCTCGAAATAAGTGTGAATTGTGGATTAAAGTGGCATTCCGAGCTCGGTGGGAGGCTTGGATGACTGGAGGTGAGAAATTATGTACCAAAAGTGGCCGCATGCAAAGAGCAACTTTTCTTCAAGTCTGCCAGTGGATCCTGACAGCGGCGCAGGGTTAAAAAAATCCTACATCACTAACGAGTTTCGAAAGGCTGCTGCGTGATGAAAAGAAAAGCACAAGCTCAAGGGCGCAGTGTGCAAGAGGAAGGTGAAGATAATGATCAATGACTTCCTGGGAGTCTACTGTATTCTTTTTTAATCAGCTGTGTTATAGGCACTGTTCAAAAACAAACAAACAAACAAACAAACAAACAAAAAATTACTGTATGTAGTGTTTGTGTATGTTTCATTTTTATTTATATTCCATTTACTTTTTATTTAGTGGGCACGGCTTATATTCGGGTTTGCTCTATAGTCCGGAAATTACGGTACTTCACATTTTTAATGGGGCATTTGGTAGAGCTATCAGGAAGGATTTGTTGTAAGGGAACACAAAGTTTTACATGGACCATTAATGACAAAAGACAGCGGCTGACATGATCATAAGTGTAAATATCGATAGCTATTGAATGAGTCAAATAAAATTGCAAGTGACATAAACACTTTTAAAAGTGTTCATGTATGCTTTTTTTAATGGAACTGCTTTAATGACAGAAACTTGCTTTTGAACTAGGCCTATAGTGACTGCTGTTAGCTTTTCTCCTCTGACACAACTTCTGCTTAATATTCTAAACTGAACCATCTCTACTGCAGGTTAGCTATTGATTACTGAACACTCTATGGAACACCCTTTGAAAAAAAAAAATAAACAGACGCATCTTTTTAATTCAGTGAGCTCAAAAAGGGAAGAATCATATTTTCAGCTCTCACGAGTAATCTTTGAGTTAGTATTCCAGACAGCACCATCGGGTTGGTTTGGATCCAACGATCGGAAATCATATCAGTTTATTTCCCTGCAGGCGGTGATGGCTGCTTTGCTGTAGACAAAAAGACAGGCCAGGTGGTGACCACAGGGCTGGTGCTTCAGAGAGACAGAGAATACCTGTTAAGCGTGGTGGCCATTGATGGCGTGGGAAGTCGCAGCGCACCTGCCATGCTCTCTGTGGTGGCAGGAGCCAGAGCGCCACAGTTCACCAACGGCAGCTACGCCATCTCCATACCAGAGAACACACCAGAAGGCCAGCCGTGAGTGCTGCATTTGTTAACATCTACTCACACAAAAGCAGGGAAGAATTTCAGATCAGCCTGAAGCAAAACATCAAGGAATTACAAGTTTATTCTACATTTATTTCCAGGGATTTGTCAAAAATGCCTTGTATTTGTGAAAAAATGTGATATTTCTCTGAGGTCTCATTTTGTAATTAAGCTGTTTAATTTAGATGTTACTTGGTGGTATTTCAGCGCTTCTTTGTCAGATACTTTATTATTAGTTGACATAGGGGAATACAGTTTAAATGAGGAAAGTATAAAAATGGTCTGATGCACGCCCAATAATCCCGGTAGATACATCCAACAAGGTTAAGTCGGGTCCTTTGGACGGATTCTTCTTTGTCATAACATCTTTGCCTTTTATCCAACATCTGTCATTAGCAAACTGGTTGATCCATTATGAGAAGATGCTGTTTGTAAGACTGAGTTTGTTGCATCTTCTCAGACTGAAGAAGTCTTCTGGATAAAATATGAAACGTTTCAACAAAAAAGAATCCATCCAGAGGATCTAACTTTACTTTGTTAGCTTAATATTATTTAAGCGAGTGGTTTTAGGAAGACCCAAAAGCAGAATAGAGGAAAGGGCCGACAAAAACAACAACAACAAAAAAAAAAAACTTGTATGAACTTGTGGGAACAAAAGGAAATGCTGCAGAAAACTTGGCCAGAGCAGCTGATAAGTCCAAGGAGCTACAAACAAGCAAGGAACAAACAAAGCAGGGTAGATAGAAAAAAATAAAATAAAAAACAGAAAAGCTAAACAGAACACTTGGTGAACAAACAGACTAACAAAGTATGGATGGTGAGGCAAGACTATAAACACACACTAGGGTCTAATTGACTAACAAACCATAGCTGAACTATAGAGGGAAGGGAAAAGGAAAACTACGAACGATACCAAAGAAAAACACATGATGGAAACTAAGGACAGTAAAAGACTGAACAAGATTTTTTTTAATTCTAAACAATAAAATTAAATGAACCAAGAATAACAGTAAAATAAAAAAAAGTAGAGATTAAAGGGAACATAGACTTGAACTAGCAAATCCAGGCGAGTCTAAACATAAAGCATTAGACAATACAAAAGACAAAAGTAAAAATAAATACATTATAAGACAAATGTTAATTGACTGACTTACACCAGGACAGTTTTATCATCTACAAAGCCTCAACTCCAATCCCTACAATAACTAAAGCATGGACAGAAACACACAGTAGGTGTTGCATTTTGTCACGGTACTGTGTAAGACTTGTGTTAATACATATTCATTTGGTCCCATCGGTGCACTCAAGCAAGCACTGACAATCATCATCGCACACCGTTACTGAATGCAAACTCTCTTAACCATAAAAACAAACAAAGGTATCTGTGTAATGGCATTCTATTATTACACCAAACTGACAAAAACTGACTAACCGTGATTATAACATGCAGCTGATGGGGCATGGAGTAACTGATTTCATTATCGTATAGTGCTGATGTAAGAGAAGAGGATTTCGATTCTAATTCATCATGAGTTCAGCTAAAATCAAGACGCAAATAGTTTTTCATTTAATTTCTTGTTTGATCGTTTTCTGTTTCTTCCACAGCTTCCTTGTGGTTTTAGCCATTTCCTTCCAGAAGCAGCAAATCAGCTACAGCCTGCTGATCAATCCCAGCAGCCTGTTCAGCATTCGACAGGAGACCGGGGAGATCAGTCTGACCAGAACGCTGGATTATGAGAGCGATCAGCGGCGCTACCTTCTGATGGTGCGAGCCAACGAGGAGCCGGGCAGCCTCAGCACGGCCACAGAGGTTGGTTTTTATTAAGACAGCAAACAGGAGTCAAGAGTTCATGCACGTTGGCCTGTTAAGATGAATTCCACTTTTGAAGTTTTATCTTTGCATCTGTTAAGGAAACATTGCATTAACTGTGGAGGATTAAGCTGTGAGAAAACAGCTTTTGGACTGCATCGCTGGGAATTTTGGTATCAAAGCTGCAACAAAAGCAAATTCACAAATTTTTCACTAAATTACAAAAAAAAAGTTGTTTTCTTTAATAATTATGTTTTATTGTCTCGCGTTGCAGAGTTAAGACGGGAAATTGAAAATCCCATCCATCTGTTAGTCCATCCGTTCGTGTATGTTGTGGGCACGATAACTAGAAAAGTACCGTATTTTTTGGAGTGCAAGTCACTCTGGAGTATAAGACGCATCAGTCAAAAAAAGCATAATGAAGAGGAAAAAAAACATATATAAGTCGCTTCAGCATATAAGTCACATTTATTATGCATCACCGCTGACCCGTTGCGTTTATTATGCATTCATTTAATGGTCAAAACAGCTTAATTTCACCTGGGCAGCATGGTGCCATCCATCCATCTATACATCGCAGCAGGAGCCGCTAGCTCTCCAGCGTTTCTCCACCTGCACCAGCTGAGTGAAGCGAGCATGCACGAGAGGACTCACTGTTGTAATTCTTAGAAATTTAAAGCATCAGTCAAAAATAGCATTATGACTATGGGAAAAAAACCCGTATATATATATATTTTTTTTTCATTTAGCCTTTATTTATCCAGGTTAGTCTCATTGAGCCACGAGAACTCATTTTCAAGAGAGACCTGTTTAGGGAGCACATGGTGGGGGTTAAGGGCCTTGCTCATGGGCCCAGAGTGGGGCGAATGAGGGTGGGGGCAAGTGTGGGTGTTTCACCTACCCCACCCACAATTTTGATGTTGTCGGGGCCGGGGCGTGAACCGGCGATCTTCGGATCACAAGCCCACCTCTCTAACCTCTGCGCCACCACTCCCCCAAGTCGCTAAGTAAGTCGCTTTGGTGTAGAAGTCTCAGGACTGACAAATCTATGCAAAAAACTGTGACTTATACGCTGGAAAATACGGTAAATATCCAACTTCCATTTTGGTGTGAGACTGTAAGAAAAGTCACTATCAAAAATTGAATTGACGCATCAAAATCCAAAATGGTCACCTCCATATGTCTATTTAAACCAACCACCACTGTCATTTGAGAAAACTGTGCTTTCTAGTTTTTATATTGCTTAAAAGTATAGTTTTCTCAAATGATTGGAGTGGCCCTTGAGGTGGCCAGAGATTAATCTATGGTGGCCAAGGCCACTAATGGCCACCCCCTAGCTTTTCCATTGTGCCTGGGGGTGAATAAAATTGCTCCACTCACCAGTATCAGTCACTCTGCGCTGCCTTGGATGTCTTGCACTAAAAACATTTGGGTTTACGTGCATTCCCTGTTAAAGTCCAGTCCACAAAAACACTCATCTCCAAAACTAGTGAGTACACGTAGCATGCATAATAAGACTGTGAAGATTTTATTCCAGTTCAGTGTTTACCCGAGGCTTGTGGCATTTTTGAATTTTATAAAATAAATGTTCCTTTTTTATAAGGGTGATATGTTTTAAATTTATAGCACAGGTAATCCTTTGTGCAGCACAAAATAATTTAAAATATGCCATTTATATCTTCCAGACTGATATGGATTTTTGCCTTAGAACAACTTTATTTCACTCAAATTGATTATATTTTAAAGATTTCTGCTCCTTTAGTCATTTAATACAATATATTTTACATATTAGAACATTTACTGAATTACATTTATCACAGTACATTTACCTCACAGTTGTGTTTCAAATATAGACAAGCTGTGCAGCCCACAGCTGCAGCAAAAGCTTCCTCCTGCAGCTGATCAGCTGATCTCCACTCTGCAGTGGAGAAGTGGGCGTGGCCAAGAGCACAGGTGCATCAGGAGGCAGAGAGCTGAAAACATGACATTCTGTACTCTTTTAGAGCGTTTAAATTTTAGAAATATTGTTTAAAATATTGCAAGACAGAGTACGGATCCCCCGTAATAAATGAGGGACTATACTGTATATCTTTGCAGTAATCTGAGGCATACAAATAGAAGTCTTGGTCTTGCTAAAGTTTAATTTCATGAATTAAAGCTGCGGAAAACAGTGAATTTACTCAAGAGCATGTCTAAACAGGCTGTGCTGCTACTGCTGTCATGGCATCATCTCTACTAGCGGAGGTTTGGTTGCACACGTGAGTCAGATGATGTCATAACATTTAATACAAATTCAGGGAGGTTGGGGTATGGTGTGGTAGGAGGAGGTGAGGATGAGGCTTTGGTGTCTTTCCTGCCACAAATAATTGGTCAAGTGTGAACATACTGTATATAGAGGTATATAATAGTATTAAGTATTAATTATGGTTATTATTATTACTATTTATTGTTATTACTTATTATTTATTAATGGGGCTGAGATGGGGTAGAGGTAGGACAGTGGACTTGGGACCAGAAAGTCTAGATTCGACTCCCAGCCATTTCCACATGTCGTGGTGTCTCTGAGCAAGGCACCTAATCCCTAACTGCTCCCCAGGTGCTTGCATAGCTGCCCACTGCTCCACCTGGCTGTATCTCACATATGATGGTTAACTGCAGAGAACTCACTTCACCGTTGTATGGAAACATACAGTGATAACAATCTCAGACCCCTTCACAATTACACACATTCACTAATAAAATCAACCTCGGGGAACAGCAACCTACCAATTGTTTATTCCAAAATGGCTACATGTTTTGTTGTTGTTGTTGAAATGACTTTGTGTTTGTTTTGTCATGACATATTTGTCTTTGTCTCCAAGCCATGTTTTCATAATTTTTCTATTTTGTAACTTTTTGAAAAAAGATTGCATTGTTGTGGTTTGTGAAGCTACTTTTCTCTTCTCTTTTGTTAGAGCTTTATGAATTTTATCATGTTATTGCTTTTTGTTTCGCTTCAATGGCATATTGTTTTGCTCCCCTGGGCCACCATTGGCAACGCTGTAAAAACTTCAATGATTAAAACTCAGCCTTGACCTATTGACATCACGCTGCTCAGCGATAACCTCAAAAGGCGAGCAGCAGAGTTTGTCGCTTTCTGCAGGGATGGCATGGCTGGGTGGTTTTGAAATGTTAACAAGTGAACCATGGGACTTTTTGCCCACACCTTTTGTTTCAGAGCTTTAGAAAAGGCTTTTTGTCCAACGACTGGAAATGAAACAAACAGGGGTGCTTGAAAGTTTGTGAAGCTTTTATAATTTTCTATACTTCTGCATAAATATGACCTAAAATATCATCAGATTTTCACAAAAGTCCTAAAAGTAGATAAATAGAACCCACTTAAACCAAAAATACTGAAGTATTATACTTATCATTTATTTATTGAGGGAAATGATCCAATATTACATATTTGTGAGTTGCATACGTATGTGAATCTTTGCTTTCAGTATCTGTTGTGACCTCCCTCCCCCACTCTCCCCTGTGCAGCAATAACTACAACTAAACATTTCCAAAAAATGTTGATCAGCCCTGCGCACCAGCTTGAAGGAATATTAGTCCATTCCTCTGTACAGAACAGCTTCAACTCTGAGATGTTGGTGGTTTCCTCACATTAGCTGCTGCTTCAGGTCCTTCTACAACATCTGGACTGGATTAAAGTCAGGACTTTGACTTGGTCATTGCAAAACATGAACTTTATTTTTCTTGAACCATTCTTTGGTAAAATGACTTGTGTGCTTAGTGTCATTGTTTTGCTGCATGACCCACCTTCTCTTTAGATTCAGTTCATGGACAGATGTCCTGACATTTTCCTCAATAATGTTCTGATATAATTCAGAATTCATTGTTCCATCAATGATGGAGTGTTGTTCTGGCCCAGATGCAGCAAAACAGGCCAAAATCATGATACTACCACCACTATGTTTCACAGATGGGAGAAGGTTCTTAGGCAGGAATGCAGTGTTTTCCTTTCTCCAAACAGAACACTTTTCATTTAAACCATAAAGTTCTATTTTGGTCTCATCCGTCCACAAAACATTCTTCTAACAGCCTTTTAGCCTGACCACATGATCTTTAGCAAACTGCAGGCGAGCAGCAATGTTGTTTTATTTATTTATTTATTTTTCATTTATTCATTCATTTAAAAGAAACTATAAAGAAACAAACCAAATTCATTATAAAAAAAAATTGAATGAAAAGGGTGCAGGAAGAAAAAGAAAATTCTAGTAATATCTGTCCCTTATTAAAAAAAAAAAAACAACTACAAACAAACAATAACTTAGGCTTGAACATCTCCAAAGGGAAAACAAAAATATTAGGCATCCTTCACATGGCACCATAATTTTCCAACAATTTTAACTTAATCCTCTTTTAAACATATACATTGTTTTATAAATGTTTATGGTGATATCAAGGCAATTCCACAATCCTGCTCCCTAAATTACAATGCAGCTCCTTCAGACTAGTCCTATATGGAGGGTTTACAAACATTTCCATTCCTTTAAGGTTATAATGACGCTCTTTTTTAACAAATTTAATTGAATATTTGGGGGAAATATTTTTTATGAGCTTTGTACATGATTTATAAAATACTAACAAATCATAAAATGTTAATAATTTCAACTGATGAAAAAATATATTTGTTGGGTGACCATAGCACTTCCTACTAATAATTCTTACAGCTCTTTTTTGTAAAATAAAAATAGGGTTTGTAATTGTTTTGCATGCTTTCCCCAAACTTCAATACAATTGATTAAATATGGAACAATCATTACATTATACAATATATACAAAGCTTTGTTGTTCAAAAACTCTTTTACTTTATACAGTAATACAATTGATTGAGCTATTTTTATTCTTAAGTAACATGAAATTTCCATGTCAGCTTCTCATTGACAACACCCAAAATTTCATTTCATTAACTCTATGAATTTCAATACTGTCAATTTTAAATGGGACTTTGATAATTTTATTTCTATTACTAAATATCATGTAGGTTTTTTTTTCTCCAAACTTAATGATAACTTATTAATTTGGAACCAGTTTTGCATTTTTACGAATTCTGTCCGTATCATCTCTAACATCCGTTCAATATCTTCAAAAAAATGTGGTATCATCAGCAAATAATACACACTTCAAAAGCCCTGACACATCAACCAGATCATTCACATACAAAATAAACAAGTTTGGTCCCAATACAGAGCCCTGAGGAATTTCACATCCAATAATTTTCTTTTTTGGATCGCAGTTGCTTCCTCCTTGCAACCCTGCCATGCACACCATTGTTGTTCAGTGTTCTCCTGATGGTGGACTCGTGAACATTAACATTAATGTGAGAGAGACCTTCAGTTGCTTAGAAGTTACCCATGGTCCTTTGTGATCTCGCCGACTATTCCACACCTTGCTCTTGGAGTGATCTTTGTTGGTCCATCAATCCTGGGGAGGATAGCAATGATCTTGGAATTCCTCCATTTGTACACAGCTTGTCTGACTGTGGATTGGTGGAGTCCAAACTCTTTAGAGACGGTTTCGTAACTTTTCCAGCCTGAAGAGCATCTACAACTCTTTTTCTCAAGCCTTCATAAATCTCCTTTGTTCGTGCCATGATACACTTCCACACACATGCTGTGAAGAGCAGACATTGATAGATCCTGTTCTTTAAATCAAACAGGGTGCCCACCCACACCTGATCATCATCCCATTGATTAAAACCACCTGACTCTAATTTCATCTTCAAATTAACTGCTAATCCTAGAGTTTCACATTCTTTTACCACTCATAAATAATATTGGATCATTTTCCTCAACAAATAAATGACCAACTATAATACTTTTGTATTTTTGTTTAATTGGGTTCTCTATCTACTTTTAGGACTTGTGTGAAAGTCTGATTGTTTTATTACATGTTTATGCAGAAATATAGCAAATTCTAAAGGCTTCACAAACTTGCCAGCACCTCTGTTAAACATGTTCTGGCATATACAACCTCAGACTTTAAAAACAACTGTAATAAATCAGCATGTTTAGTTAAACTATTTATGTTTTGACTTTGTTTAAAATGTTAATTTAAAGATTTTTGTCACAGTGGTTCAGTTGGTAGAGCTGTTGCCTCTCAGCGAGAAGGTTGTTGGATCGAATCCCAGCCGGGGACCTTTCTGGGTGGAGTTTGCATGTTCTCTCCGTGCATGCGTGGGTTTTCTCCGGGTACTCCAGTTTCCTCCCACTGACCAAAACATGCATGTTAGCCTGAATGGTAACTCTAAATTGTCCCTAGGTGTGAGTGAGAGAGTGAATGGTTGTTTGTCTTGTTTGTCTCTATGTGTCCCTGTGATGGACTTGAGTCCTGTCCAGGGTGTCCCCCGCCCATCCCACAGTGACTGCTGGATATGGGCACCAGTAACCCCCATGACCTAAAAAGAAAGAAGCGGGTAACGATAATGGTTGGATGGATGGATGGATTTTAGTCACCCAATTATCATGTTGCAGGTTCACTTCTCACCACAGATTTAGCAAGCAAAACCGCCTTTCTGCTCAGCTGCATGTCGTGGGGTAGGAGATGGAGACTGGGAAAAACCTTTCCCATCTATTTCAGGACTATTACTCAGCTGTCACTTCACACTTTACACATTGCGGTGACAGGGAGCTTGTAGGATGGAGGACAGCTAAAGGCTTTTGTTGAAAACACACACAGTGAGGCACTCGCATGCTCAAAACATTTCTATTTTTGACTCGGGAAAATCATGAAGTGGAAGATAAAGGATGAGTTGCATGGGCAACTAGCGGAACTAGAAAATGCAATTAAGATTAAGTTTTGGGGTCAACTTTCTGCACACAGAATTTGATACGGTTGTCTTCTGAATTTGAGAGTTAATAAAGAGTGGTTAATTTTCTGTTCTTTCACTCTGATTTTTTTGTCCCTTTCCTCCTCGTATCTCTTTGCCTCTTCGATGCTAATCAGGTTCAGGTGTTGATAACGGATGAAAACGACTGCGTCCCCGAGTTCCTCCAGTCCATCTACAGTGTCGACGGAGTTCCCGAAACTGTAACCACGGCAACATCCCTGCTGCAAGGTGAGTCTCCTCTGACCCCTAATTTCACATCCATCTGTTTCCTTTTGAAACTGAGAGGGGAACAATCCAGAAGTCATTTTTTTAACAAGAAAACTGCAGGTTGATTTTAAATTAAATCAAAAGGTTCAACTCCAAACTTCAGTCCTATTGTTTCCACTTACTGACACATAAAGCCACTATTTCTTCTTAATTACCTTAGCTGCTTTAACGAAAATGAAACTCACGGGTACCAATAAAGCAAGTATATATATATATGTATATATATATATATATATATATATAT